TTGATACCAGCGGTAAAGCGCTAATAGCTAGAACAATTGTTGATCCAACTAAAAAGGTCACAGTGCGTTTAATGAATATATCAGAGCAGGTTCAAACAATTTATAAAAATACAGTTGTTGGAGTGACCTCGCCAGTAGACGTAGTGAAATCTTAGGATGAAAATGTAATAAGCTCAGTGACGCTAAATGAAAAGGTAGAAAACATCCCAGATCATTTTAATGAATTGTACGCAGAAACAGCTACGGGTCTAACAGCAGAAAAGGCATACAAAATTAAAGCATCTATAATAATGTTTCAGCAACTATTCTCGAAGGCCAAGATACTTTTGGTAGAACCTCGGTGATAAAGCATAAGATCAACACGGAAGGTGCCAGACCAACGAAGCAGACCTTAGGAGATTGCCACATCATGCGACAAAATTTGTTGACAAGGAAGTAGACAATATGATCATAAAAGCATAGTCGAACCTTCATCCAGTCCTTGGGCTGTCGGATGGTTCTAGTGGAAAAGAAAGATGGTACCAGAGATTCTGTGTAGACTATAGATCTCTCAATAGTAAGAAAGTGAAAGATGCCTATCCTTTGCCACGAATCGATGACTCGCTTGATCCTCTACAAGGAACTATCTGGTCTTGCACCTTACACCTTCATTCGGGGAATTGGCAAGTGGAGATGAATGAGGCTGATAAACCAAAGACAACTTTTGTCACAAGAAATGGCCTATTTCAATTTTCAGTAATGCCCTTTAGACTTTTTAACAGTCCAGCAACTTTTGAGAGACTGATGGAGACGGTTCTTGCCGGGTTAAATTTTAAGATATGTTTAGTGCATGTAGACAATATCATTGTTTTTGGAAGCAGTTTTGATGAAACACTTTACAAATTACACCAGGCAGGGCTAAAGTTGAAACCTTCTAAATTTTCCTTGTTCAAAAAAGGTGCTTTGTTTTTGGGATATCGTGTTTCCGGACATGGCGTTCATACCGACCCTCAGAAAATAGCAGTAGTAAAAGACTGACCGGTTCCAAAAGATGCAAGCAAAGTGCGTTTTTTTGTAGGTCTTTACAGTTACTACAGGAGATTTATTGCAGGTTTCTTCTCATTGGCTTAACCATTATTTAGGTTGACTGAGAAAGGCAGAGTTTTCAGTTGGACATTGGAGTGTCAGGAGGCTTTCGAAATGTTTAAGCAACATTTAGTCACTGCTCTCATTCTTGCACATCTTGACTTCTCAGTGCCTTTTATTTTAGACACAGATGCAAGTCAAGTGGGTCTCCAAGATTGGGATAGAAACTTTCCGTATGTGCTTATGGCTTACCGCTCCTCTGTGCATGAAAGCACATGCTATACTCCGAATATGCTTATTTTTGGACGCGAGGTAGCCACCCCGCTATAGACATCATGTATGACTTACCGAATGGTATGAAGTTAAGCAAAGTACATGATTATGTATGGAGATCAGTAAGAGTTTTGAGATTGATGATAAAGTGCTAGTGTGTTTCCCACAAAGAAATGTAAGGAAATCTCCCAAATTGATGAGTTTTGGTATGGTCCTTAAAATATCCTTGAAAAGGATACTGATGTTAGATTCAAAATTAGAAAAGAAAACGATACCAAGACTCTCATTGTACATATTGATAGGTTAAGACATTATGGGACTCAAGTCCTGGGTAATGAATTGACACAGTCTGACGATGATCATCAAGTAGTGCTAGATGAAAGTCAGACTGATGAACATCAGAATGATGAACTTGAATTAGATGTACTTGGTAATTCAGAACTGAATGAATTAGAATTGCCATAAGCCAATCGCAGACAACGCACAAGGCCTAAATGGAACACTGATTATGAGTTTGATTATACAATTTAACTTTCAGTACAGTGTTTTAAGAATTAGCATTTATTTTCAGATTTTAAAAAAAGAGGCAAGAAAGAAAGAGATGCCATTGACCAAAGTGACTCCCAGGAAGCATGGGGTTTTATGCTCTATTTGCTTGGAGAGATCACTTGTCAGCATGTGGAATGGCTGATGATAATCGAAGAAAGTATGAATGCGAATTATGTGATCAAGCTTTTAGTAAGAAAAATATCTTAACCAGACACGTGAAACGTATGCATAAGGAACAAGATATCTCGAAAAGGGACAGATTTAAGATTCGTCAGTAGAATTACCTATAGAAGAGGATTGGCTAGAAGATCCCGGAGAACTTATTTTTGAAGAAACCAACATCGACTTAGGTAGAACTCAGAGAAAAAGAACTGTCCCGCGTTTGCCAGGTGTCAAAAGAAAAACAACAGAAAAAGTGAACCAAGTATGCCGAGAAGCAACTAGTAGTAGATCAGACCAGGAGAAACCTGCGGAGAATCTGCACTTCTCCTGTTGAAGTGAACCAAGTATGCCGAGAAGCAACTAGTGGTAGATCGACCAAGAGAAACCTGAGAATCTGCACTGCTCCTGTTGCAGGAAACAAGTTGAGACAATGGAGTTGCTACACAGGCCAACATTTCTTTGAAAAAATAGACAAAAGAAGCCGTAAGAAAATCATAAGAGTGATCAGAAAATATCAAGAAAATGTAAAAACCATTGAAAAATTTGAAGATAACATTTGGTCTGCTTAGAATGCCTCAGGTACATCAAATTAAACCGACTTTGTGTTTGTATTTCTTTCATTTTGTAACCAGATGTTACTTTTGTCTTTGATGAAAAAATTAATTAAAACAAAAAATCAAAATAATATATAAATGTCTATAGAAAAAACATGCGGGGTGCATGAAATCAGAGGCGTGGGTGATATAATGATTAGTGGAAACTGAAAACGCAAAGAAGACCCAGATGTAAGGTAAGAATGGAATAAAGAGTATAATAGACTGCATTGAGAGTTTCAGGGTCTCATTGGGAATGCATAGCAGCTGCGAAGAAGAGTTAGAGAATTATTGTAGGGTAAGAATAACAAATAAGAGAAAGGGTAAATAAAATAGGATTGCACCAGTGACAAGAATTGAGGCGAGATACTGAGGGCTGTAGATCTGAATAAGAACGAAACTCCTAGTATCCGCTATCAATAGGAACCTGGGGCAAGGTACACAGTACCAAGCCCAAGAGTTACCCAGTCATTAGAATTCAGCCTACCTCATATATTCCGTAATTAATGATGACAGAAAAACCCAAATAGGTTTAAGAAAAATTATTTTACAGTACATAGTCAAAATTATAAGGTCATAAGCTCAGGTAGAGTAAGAGAAAAATTAATCCCCTGAGAACCCTACGCAGGGGTACACGTTTACAAACACAACTCAATTATAAGTTACACTTCGAAAAGCAAAATATTATATGTTAATTTTATTATCCCCTCGTTTTATTCATGTGTGATTGGAATATGAGAAGATCAGACAATAGATGAATAAATTGAAAATATACATATATACATATATCAAGGCAACATTCGATCCCGGTGGAAATTGTGTCACCTCCGTTTCGCACAGGAATAACACACCCACAAACACATACACAATTGCGTTACTCCGTTGCGAGGGGATAATTAAAGTGATTCGGTGGTATTCATAGATTAGCACTAAGTGGTACAAACTTAAGATGGGTCAGTTGTCCCTACAGCTGACCTACTTGTAGTTTGTACCATCTAGTGCTAACCGTATTGGTTTCAATAGCATATGCCATTTTTTAGCTTAGGCACGTATATATAGTGAGGTCAGCTTTATCAGGAGTCCACCTTATGCGACCTTCATAAATCAATCTCATCGTGAAAATAAGCAGGAAGGTGTGAGTATTTGTTAGAATTTATGCTTGCAACAGCTAGTATCTGTTTAAGAGATCATTATCTGATGAAATCGAGGTCACTAGTCAAATAGTTGCCCTCTGCCTCTAAAAGAATTCATGCATGCATTAATTGAATTAATGTTATCATTAATTCAAGGGTAGAGAGCAATATTTCAATTATTGCAAACATTAATTGAATTTGTGATACCAGTAATTCAATTGAAAAGATCAATAATTCAATTATTGCATGCATTGTAATAATTATTGGTCTCTTCACTATTGAATTATTACGCGCATCAATTCAATTTATGATTTCATCAATTTATTCAAAGAGAGCAATAATGGACGCAGTAAGTCAAATTTGAAATTACAAATTACTGAAGAGATCTGTAAATGAATTACTGCGTGCATCAAATCAATTGATACCTTCAAATAATTATAAAAGATTTCTTTCGGTTTATGTTAATTTGGCGCGCCATTGCATGGTGATAACTGACAGTACACAGAAAAAATAATCGTTATACATAAAACAAATCTAAGGCGTTTATCTCGACAAGCAAGGTGACTCTAACATAACCATGCTAACATAAACAATTGGATTCGTTGACATTTTATTCTACATATATGAAGGACCATGGGTTTCTTATTCAAGGAAAAAAGTTCACCTTTCTGAAAGACATATTATGTCATCAAATCAGACGGATCCGCTAGTATGTATTTATGTGTGATATACGTACGTGGGCCTTGTCAACTTTCGAAGAATTAATTGTAAAACGACATGTGTTTACAAAGTTGCTGCAGACCCGGAAATGTAATCTCCGGAAAAGAGAGGCGAACTGTTGGAATTTTATCAATAATTTTTGTGGTGATATTCAGTGGATTTATTGGCATTCAAAATTTACAGAGTACACTGAACAACGAGGGAGGACGAGGGGTGATCTCTTTGTCAGTTGTATACGCATGCTTTATTCTATCGTCATTTTTTGCCCCTTCATTCATCCAGGTTTTGTCCCCCAAGGGTTGTTTGATATTAGGATTTATAGCCCATGTAGTGTATACTGCTAGCAATCTTCATCCAGTGTTCTGGACGTTGCTTCCGGCGTCCGCCTTTGTTGGAATAACTTCCGGTCCAATATGGACTACACAAGGAATGTATATATCAAATTGTGCAATATCGTTCTCTCAAACCCAAAATGTTCCATTGAAGGAAATATTTGGCAAATTCCATGGTATATTTTTCTTCAGTTTTGCATTTCCTAGACTCTTAGGAAACTCGCTTTCTTCCATTATTTTAATGCAAGGACATTACAATGAAACGACCACTAATGCATCAGAGTCTGGCAATATTAAAGTATGTGGTGCAGATTTATGTCCAGAACACTCAGTAACTGAGATACAGTTCTCCTTACCAGATCCACTGACGGTCAAAATACTCATGTCTGTATTTGTAACATTCAGCATTATTGGTTTACTGTTATGCATTTTCTTACTACCGCCACTTCCAACCACCGTAACGTCCACAAACAACAGCGTCATCAGAAAGATGTTATCCGCCACCTGTTTTTGTCTCCGAGTGAACACAGAAGTAGAGATGATTCTTTTTATTCCGTCCATTGTGTTGTTGTCATCTGTGGAAACCTTCCGTTGGATTGGCGTCTCCAAGGTGTATATATATACGAGAATATAATTCAAATTAATGCTTTAATTACTATGTATACGGAGGTTTTCAGGTCTTACATGTAGTTCTCAGCTTGTGCGGTAAGAAAATGCAATGTACGCTGCTCCACTGCAACAATAAATCACAGAGATGATTACTGAAAGAATGGACACCAACATATTGTGATCCAAAACCCTACTTAAATATTTAAAGGTTGTTAATTTGATGAAAGCATTTTCCTTTTAAATTTCTTGATTTTTTTTTTTTTTTATCTATTTCTATTTTATTTTTTTATTATTATAATTTATTGATTGATTGGTCATAGAAGTTAAAGAAATGTTTATTTAATCAGAGTGAAAGTTAAACCCTTGAGAGCGGAGAAAGAACTAGTCTACAAAGGGAGGACTAAGTTTTTTTGTTTTGTTTTTTTGTTTTTAAACATTTTGCACATAACGTGTAGTTACATTGTACAGTACACATTCATTATTATTAGGGATGGCAACGAATATTCGAACATTCGAATATTCATTCGATGAGTTGATATTCGAATATGAATTTAAGATTCAAATATTCGGTGTTTTTCAGATTTCATAAAAAGAAGTACTGTGATTAATAAATTTTGATTAGAACAGTGCTGGAATAATGGCATTATCCCTGTTTCAATTTCGATCGCCTGATTTCTTTCACTACTTTCTTATCTTATAGGTATGCTAAATTACAGTTATTTTGATTTGAGTAAGGTGTTAAAGAATTGTACAATAATGCTTTACGTATAATACAAAACGTACTTTCATAGTTTTTATTAGTTAGATACTATCGGATCTAGAATCGAGGACAACAAAATGAAAACCTTCTTAGAATGTCTAAAAGACGCGAAGCGTATACTTTTCAAAATAAATTTAATTGATCATTGAAGGAATGTTCGATAGAATTAGTCTGTTATTAATATTGCTCAATTTCAGAATAATTATGTAAATTACTTGATTTTCTCGGGTTGTACATAATCCAAAATTTTATATTCATTATCGGGAAATTAGTTAATTACATAGGAAAATTGTCTATGGAAATATTTGTTTAAACATTGTATCAAAGATTATAATCATATCTCTTATTAGGCAGATAATTGTATACTACACGTATTGAAATCTGAACAGTACACCGTTACGACTATATCTTGCCTTTGGTAAAATGACTGGTTCCTCAGTTGGAGCTACTATAAATACACATGTTTCATTTGTTAAAATTGTACTTTTCTACATTGAAATCAATTATTTATTTCAAACATTGACAAATATCAAATGAAATTTCTTATTGTACACCTACAGAAGTCTTCATACAATTTTACTTCAATATAAGTATACCTACGCTAAACCTTTCATGAGAGTAGGATGATGCATGTATAAATTAAACAAATTTTATTTATTTTATCGAATATTCGAATATATTCGAATACTTTCATTGAATATTCGAATATGAATTATTGACAAAATTCACATCCCTAATTATTATTAATTTGAATTTATGATAAATAACTTAACCATTACATCTTATGATTAGTTTTAGACTAATTAATGACACAGTTATCATGATTATGCAATGCCTTATGATTCTCTGAACCATAATGTATCTTCTTTTTCTTGTGTTGGTTTCAGTGTGAATTGTTTCCGGCAATGTTAAATATGACATGTAACGATAACATGGCAAAAGTTACAAACAGAACTTCCATGTAATGATTATTTGAGACTAATGGGTTACGTTCTTTCAGGCCTATATAAGCTGTCCCTTTGGTGTACAATTTGTCGGATTTTCAATGGCTCTGCATGGACTCTTAAGCGGAGTTTCTTCCATTTTCCTTCCACGATTGGCAAATTTTATCAGCAGAAAGTATGTAGTGACTTCTTTGATAATTGGAATCACTATAACGCATGTAGTTTTCTTGATATGGACACCGGTAAACGATGAACTGCCCCAAATGATGGGGTTTATTTCCATACAGGGAGTGCTAGAGGGGGGACTCAGTACAATGCTATGTGGTAAGTACAGTGTGGTGTGTGATAAGTTAGAGTGGCGTGTGGGAGTAAAGAGTGGTATGTAGTAAGTCTGATTGGTTAGTAGTAAGTAAAAAGTGGCATGTGGTAACTACAGAGTGGTGTGTGGTAAGTAAGAGTAATGTGTGGTAATTCAGAGAGGTGTGAAGTTAGTACAGAGGGTGGTGTGTGGTAAATCAGAATGGTGTGTGGTAAGTACAGAGAGTGGTGTGTGGCAGAAAGAAGAGGTGTGAGGTAAGTAAAGATTGGTATGTGGTAAGTGTAAGTAGTGTAAGATAAGTAAGGAATGGTGTGTGTACGTATAGCGTGGTTTGTAGTCTGTACAGAGTGATGTGTAGTAAGTACATAGTGGTATGTGGTAAAAACAAAGTGGTGTGTGATAAGTAGAATTGGTGTATAGTTAGTACAGAGTGATGTGTGGTAGGTCAGAGTGGTGTTTGGTAAGTAATAGTGGTGTGTAATTGGTACAGAATGATGTGTGCTAAGTAGAGTGCTATGCGGTTGGTACAGAGTGGTGTGTAGTAAGTACATAGTGGTATGTGGTAAAAACAAAGTGGTGTGTGATAAGTAAAAGTGGTGTGTAGTTAGAACAGAGTGATGTGTGGTAGGTCAGAGTGGTGTGTGGTAAGACAGAGTGGTGTGTGATGAGTACAGAGTGATGTTTGGTAAGTAATAGTGGTGTGTAATTGGTCCTGAATGATGTGTGCTAAGTAGAGTGGTATGCGGTTGGTACAGAGTGGTGTGTAGTAAGTACATAGTGGTATGTGGTAAAAACAAAGTGGTGTGTGATAAGTAAGAGTGGTGTGTAGTTAGTACAGAGGGATGTGTGGTAGGTCAGAGTAATGTGTGGTTAGTACAGAATGATGTGTGGTAAGTACATAGTGATGTGTGGTTAGTACAGAGTGGTGTGTGGCTAGTACACAGTGGTGTGTGTTAAGTCAGGGTGGTGTGTGGTAAGTACAGAGTGATATGTGTTAGTACACAGTGGTGTGTGGTTTGTCAGAGTGGTGTGTATTTAGCTAAGTACACAGTGGTGTGTGTTAAGTCAGAGTGGTGTGTGGTAAGTACAGAGTGATATGTGTTAGTACACAGTGGTGTGTGGTTTGTCAGAGTGGTGTGTATTTAGCTAAGTACACAGTGGTGTGTGTTAAGTCAGAGTGGTGTATGGTAAGTACAGAGTGACATGTGGTAAGTACAGAGTGGTTTGTTGGTAAAACAGAGTGGTGTGTAGTAAGTCTGACAGTGATTACATTTCGATGATGTCAAGAATTCTTGTACCTCACATCAACATATTTACTCAAATTACTTATGTGAAAGATTTTAAATCTTTCTTAAATTATAGAAGTGATCAAATTTCAACACAGCTTGAAATAAACATTCTTATCGAGCAAAATTGAAACGCAAATCTCCTTTGAAATCAACAATTTTAGTGCTCTTTATTTTACTGTCACTTTATATGTTATTTTGTAAGTACTAGTAGACGATTTTATTCTGCTTTTAGCTTTCCTGTCATTTATGTACCCAAAGAAAACAGATGCAGCGTTCGCTAGCTTGGCTACATGGAAATCATTAGGAAACACAGCATTTATAATCCTTGCTTACTACCTCTGTGAAAGTGCAAGGTTGTATATTATTTACGCCCTCTGTATCCTCTCTATGACCACCTACGTTGCCTTGGAATTACGTTTGAGACTGAGAAAGAACAAACCTGAAATTAATGATGAGCAGGAGGATGAGAGCAACAAAGAGTTAAAGATGTCTGACGATTAAATATTGCTTAATTTTATTTGAAATAAGTATATTTGGTGAAAATACCAGCTGTTTATCTCATTTCCGCTTATTTTCTTAGGGAGTTCAGTTCAGCTGCCAGTTCTTTATTACATTGGTTAAAAGAATTCTTGAATTTATTCTAAAGCAGGCTCGTAGTACGCAACCCCTCTTTTTTTCTGAGAATAGTTATTTACTGCAGTTTTTTTTTATTTGGATGCTACTTGCAACCCCCCCCCCTCACACACACACACACACTTTTAGTGGCTGTGGGCAAATTTCAGCATTTGAAGAAAAAAAATTGTACCGAATAGTTAGAGAATATCCCCCTTTCCTATACACATGAAATAGGATTTTAGAGTTTGGACATTTTAGAGTTTTTTTCACTTGCTTGTAAACTTTTTCCCGGACCCCCCCCCTTTTTTTTTTGGAAAACCTGTAAAGGATGCAATATGTGAAAAGTCTATGGTTTGTGTGGATTTATTTCTGTATAAATGTTTATTTTAAAATCAGTCATGTTCGCTATTTTCCAGCGAAGAGGAAAGTCGTGAATTAAATCAGCATACACTGTAGTAAACCTAACATCATCATTATACCAAAATGTGAATTGAAAATTCAGGCAATTTATATTCCCTGCTAAGGAATAGAATAAGCGAGTGGCAGAATGCAGATGCATTGAACTTAATATTCGCTTTTAGTCTAAAAATAAAAGAGGGTCTTTCTTAATTAGGTCTTCTTTAAGTTTGTTTGTTTGTTTGTTGTTGTTGTGTAATTTTTAACGTATATTGAGACGTCACAACTTGCCGGTGGAGGCTGCAAATTTAGACCTTTACACTTGCAGCATTTGAGCAGTGAGGAATCTTTATCGTGCAAGTACCTACTGCGACACGGGATCTCGGTTTATGAGGTCTCACCTGATCGCGAATGACCGGTCTCCGAGTCACAGTGGATTCGAACCCGCGACGTAGGGATCCACTCCTTACTCTGCGACTCTAGGGCAAATGCTCTAACCACTGCGCCACGCGGGCGCCCGGTCTTCTTAAAGTCATAGAAAGTAATGGCATCAAATTTCATAGCAAAAGCTACATGGAAACCGATGTTTGCAATATATGAATTTTTGAGTTTGACCTTTTACCCTCAAAATCAATTGTAGTCTCCTCGAAGTCACAGGGAGTTGGATATATTTTTATAAATTTCTGATCTTGACCTTTGACTTTTGACCTCAAAATGAAGGGTTTTTTCTGAATTATACGGAGTTAAGTATTAAAAATCTTAAAGAGAACTAAAATTATGATCTGAAAACAACTTTATACAATATAATTATGAATTTCTGACCTAGAACCTTTTGATCTGAAAATATTTTTTTTCACGTCATATAGCTATAGGAAGTTTTGGTATCAAATTACATAGCAAAAGGAGAAGAAGAAAGTTGTCCTCTGGAAAACATTAAATGCAATATAAGAGTTGTTCTATGACTTTGGCCTTTTACCCCTCAAAATCAATAGCGGTATGTTCGAAGTCATAAGGACTTTAAAATTTCATTTACAAAAGCTTTAACCCTTTCGACGCGGAATATAGTTACGTTTATAACGTCATGAATGCCGTACTATGACGTCAACTGAGACGTAAAATAATTTGCTTCAGAAAAAAGCGTCAAATTGATAATGAAACAAGCACCTGTTTAAGCAAGGTAATAGGATGTTCATAGTTTTCAAGGAAAATGCGCATAATATAGTCATATTCATTCCAATAATTTTTAATCCCCATAAAGTAAATTTAGCAGATATTATATATATCCTGTAGCTAGAATTCACAAGGAAATTCTTTACATACATGTATACCAAAAGCGACGTTTAGTCTTTTTCAAATAGTATTTTTACTAAATGTTATAAATGTATGACTGCCGTCACGAGAAAAGGGGCCCTTAAATAGCCTGGCCCTTTCTGAGTGCAAATATATATAACTTTTAAAAATATCTGATTTTTTCAGTATTTCATACGCATTTTAGAAAGGCACTTTAAAACAACGTTGACGTTAGTCACAGAAAACGTACTGATGTCGCGTTCAGCAATTCAAGTTCACTTTCTAAACATTCTTAAAATTATTTAATAATCCTAATCGTTTTGACACATAAAAACTTGAGAAAATATTTGATATCTTTTTCTAAGCTGCTAGTATGTAATTATTCCTAAGAAAAGACGCCTTAGTTCACACTTTAAGAGGCAGACCCATTAATTAAGGAGGAGGGGGATCTAGACATTTAGGATCTGGGAACGGTTTATATTCAGTCGAAAAATATAACAATTTCACACAAAATATTCTTTTTATATTTTATAATCTAGCCCAATTAAAAATGGATATAAAGCAGGCGCACTTGAAACATAAACCCCCCCCCAAAAAAAAAAATCGCAGATACCCCATAGAGAAAAAAAGAAATCCAACCCAAACAAGGGGTCTGTGCGTAAAGTGGGCCATCCCCTCGCAAAAAAGCAAATCGATCTCGATATTAAAAAAATTTTTACTTTCGGTTAAAAGCACGCATTCACTCTACCATCCACCCACCCACATCCACAAGCGCCTTACTTTTTCCCCCTCCAACTTTGTTTAAAAGAGAAGATAATAACACTCCAAGTATTTTCTGTATCACCGATGAATTCTAACGGGAAATTGATTCAGATGCATGATGTGTAAAATACGGTAGTTGTTTGTTTGTTTGTTTTTTGGTTAAGTTTATTCCGTTCATAAAAAGTAATCATAAAAGTCTGTTTTTCTACTTCCAAGCGGATTTTTTTAATATAATTTTTTTTAAAAATACGTTGATAGAATATTTTTAAATAAGTTTTTATTATTCAGGGCCGTAGGAAGCATTTTCATTGGGGGGGGGGGAGCATACATTTTCAGTTGGGATACTATAATATCGGCACAATTATTGGGGGTTCCTACGACCATGTTGTTCATACAAATCAATTTCTTCCAAGGTATGGAATACAAACATAAAAAAAGAGGCACATAATGATTCAAAAGATTGTGAAAGTTTATTTCATATACATGAAAATTGAAACTATTAGTCAATTTTTTAGTTTTTCCCAAGTAAATCAGGTTATATCAAAAGCTGTCTTCTGGTTTTTTTTTTAACCTGTGCTCTCGATCATCGACGCTTATCACTTGGACACAGCAATCGTACATCATATCTTAAAAGGGCCGAAACTGTAATCTCAAATGAAACACTAAGGAAATTGGTTTCTTTAAAATAGATTTCTAAGACCGCACGACATTAACTGGCAAGATTGGAAATATACAGCTTACATGTACCTCATTTCCATCTGTTACACTTAAAATATTTGATGATCGAGACGACACTGATATGGGCTGTCCAAACTCAAAAACTTTCTGCTTATTTCTAAGATCTAACCCCCCCCCCCCTTCTCAAGAAACAAATGTTCGTCCTCTTATTATTTCTTTTAAACAAAAAACATTGGACAGAAAAATCTGATTTATATATATTATTATATAATATAATTATTACATAATATATATTAATATATTACATTAATTATTTCGAAATTGGCATTATTTATCTTCTATATCTATCACTAACACTGTGCGTACAAGAGTAGCTGAGGTGAATTTAAAATGAATTTCGAACTAGAATTTTAATCCAGACGCCCGCGCTGAATTATTATAATTACCCGCTCAAATGTTTTGACTCTAATAGATGAAAATGACGTAATCTGCATACATGTATTTCCAAACCTTGACAGTAAATGTTCCGCGGTCTTAATGTCGGAATGAATTGGAAATTCGCGATCATATTGCCATATACTTACTATCACCTGCTGGACATAGAAATATAGCCGTCAGTCACGTGTCATGTTTAAGCTTACTAAAGTTCGAAATTTCAATCCTAGGAAAAATAGAATTCCTTGTAGCATTGCGCTTGATCTGAAATAATGACCTTTCTGGATTCCTGGAATTAAAAAAAATCTCGCGAGAGATTTTATTGTCTGGTTTCCAACTCAGATTTACGGAAAGTTCTAAAATTATTTTTTTTTTTTTTTAAGTAGAGTTTGATCAAAGAGATGGTTGTTCTGCTCTTGGAGCTTTTCTATATTATGCATATTTAACATAGCTGGACTTTTCTGAGCAAAGTGAAATACAGCTGCATTACAATTTTGACGAAATCTGAAATTGAAACTGAAGATTTTGAAAGACTGGAATATATTTTTACGCAGTCATCTTCCTCCGTGACATCAGCTAATCTGACATCTTAAGGCTTTTCATACTTCGGTGCAAAACTCTCCTGCTCTACTCGACTCTCTTCAAAGGCTAAGTGGAATCTCGAAATTACAGAACATGACGGGTATTTTTGCCTGTTACCACAGGACAGGATTAAAAACGTTTTTTTTTCCTTTAAAGGCAGAAAGGTGTGTGTATATCCTTTTTCCTCAAAGTCATGTATAATTCAACGGAACTTTCAGAAAATGTCGAGATATCCGGGGTGTCGAGATATCAGAGTTGAAACTTGACGTTCAAGATTTCAATGCTAAACATAGCTTAATTATTACATACACGAATTCAATAGTCAATTTTAAAAAATGATTCCTTACATTTTTCACGGTCATCAAAGTTTTGAACGAATCTCAATTCTTCTTTTGTTTATTCGTTTGTTTGTTTGTTTGTTTGTTTGTTTGTTTGTTTGTTTGTTTTGGTGGTGGTGGGGGGGGGTGTTTTTGTTTGTTTTTTTCTTCTTTTTTTTTAATTTGTTTTTTTTTTTTTTGTTTTGTTTTTGTTTTTGTTTTTTTTTTGTTTTTGCTCAAAACATCAACGTTGCTTTTATTTTTATTTTTCCCATAATGTACAGTTTCCATACTAGTGTTTGGTTTATGATTTTGAACTTTTTCATATCATTTGAATGACATCCATAACCACTTGTTATATGTAATAGTACATTTTTTCTTCTATCACTGTTTTATTCTCAATCAGTGTTGCCATGTAAACATTTATCAGAAGTTTAATAATAATTTCTTTACAGCCTACTCTACTATTTAATCTACTGTTTGTTCTGTTTCATACATATTTTTAAAGCAAAAAGTCACGGTCGATTTAATTCTCATTTTCTTCAACTCTAAGTATAATGCTCTTGGAAAAAGTCCACATCTGTTTAGCTGTATTCAATTCCTAAACAAGTTGCAAGTTCATTTCAAACTGGCTTTTACCAGAACAATTTCATATTATTTTCAG